CAGGAATGCTAGTCCACAAACTATGAATCTAAGTACATCACACATCCAGAAAAACAGCCCAATCTTTATGCCTTACAATAATAGGCAAGAAAAAGAGAACAATTAAAACAAGTATCCTTGAAATATGCCACTTTTAAAATAGCACACTTCAAGATTATAGTGTAAGAAATTAAAATATATTTTATAAACAAGGAAAAAAGCAAGAGAGTTATGCCAAATACTAGTACTTGCTATAACTCAAAGAATGTGGATTTACTACTAATAAAGTCTACATAGGTGATACATATTCAGTAAGACTACTTTCCAAAGGGTCACTGGGAATTGTCTCTGAATTTTATAATTAAAGATTCAAAGCTTCTGGTTTCTAATGAATATTAACAGATCTTATGCTGTATGGCCCATATGACTAAAACTAAAACTTTATAAATATACCTTGTTACATTTTTCTGAACAGACTGACAGCTTTCGGGAGCAAGGTCGGGGGGGGAGGGGGACTGGATGAAAGAAGGTGAAGAAATTAGTCAAAGAACATATATGCATAACCCATGGACACAGACAATAGTGAGGTGATGGACAGAGAGGAAGGAGGGTGGGTACTGGGTGGAGATACGCGAAGGGGGTTAGGGGAATAGGGAACATCTGTAATAGTGTCAACAATAAAAATAAAGTTAAAATAAATGAAATGAAAAGCTGTCCAGAGACATGTTTTAAGTGAGGAAAATAAACTAAAGAAAAATATTTACACTGTACCATTTGGGTAAAAGAATACTCATAAAAACAAAACTCTAATTTTGTTTCCACTTATGCCTGTAAATACTTGGAAACATGACTGAGGATGCCTATCTCTCAAAGTGTAATGTGAGAAGAGGTGGACTGCAAAGAGATTCTTTTAATGTATGAGAGAGTATTCCTTAATAAGTTAAAGCATTTTTAAAATGTTACTCTGAAAAATAAAGAAAAAAATGTCAGAAGAACAATCAATCAATCAATCAATCAAAACATCTCTCCTCCATGACATACACTCTTCCTATCATATACATCTTATCGTTCAACCATAAGGCTGGTATTTCTCAAACAAATTGGATTTAGTCAATTGTTTTAAAGTAAAATAAGTCAGACAGAGAAGGACAAATACCATATGATCTCACTTATATGTGGAACCTTAAAAAACCAACAAGCTCATAGATACAGAGAACAAAGAAACTGGTGGTTGCCAGAAGCAGGGGCTGGGGTTGGGGAAAAATGGGTGAAGGGGTCAAAAGGTACAAACAGCTAGTTATAAAACAAATCATGGAGTTGTAATGTAGAGCCTGGTTGACTATAGTTGATTATACTGTATTGCATATTTGAAAGTTTTAGAGGGAGTATATCTTAGAGCTCATCACAAGAAAAAAAAATTTTGTAACTATGTATAGATAATAACTAGATTTGTTGTGGTGATCATTTTCACAAATATTGAATCATTATGTTGTACACCTGAAAATAATATATATCAATTAGACCTCAGTTTTTAAAATGCCCTCAAAGCATTTCAAGAAGTATATGAACTGTAAGGTTATTTCAAAATAGATTTGATAAATTATTTCCAAATTTTTTATTAATATTCCTAGGAATTGAGTATATGTTAATATTCCAAGAAGAGAAAATAGTGTCAATTCTTCTTGGAAATTTCTTATAAAATGGTATTTTGATACCATATTCTATCTTGTATGAAAATATTTTCCATAAACTCTCTAGAAAATTGAAACTGTTTCCAATTTTTCATTTATCTTCCACCTACCTTAAATATTGATTTTAGTCCTATTAACTATTAGCATATTATTTCAAGCAAGTCAATATCTTGAAAAATAGCATAATTCAAAAACTTAACTCACAATGCACACATACACATGCACAAAATATACATATATACAAATGTAGCCAATGTTTAGTGTTTTTATTATGAGTTTTTTAAGTTATAAAATAATAATACTTCAAAAAAAATTATTACATTATATGCCCTGTTTTTTCAGTATATTTAGTCATATGAGTTCTTCATAAAATAATGCATTGCTCCAAAACCGGTTTGGCGCGGTGAATAGAATACAATAAAATATATTTTTTTAAAAAAAAAAAAGATTAAAAAAAATAATGCATTGCTTTACTGTGCAAAATATGAGATGAGTACTATAGAAAACCTTACTACTAAATCCACATACTAAATGAGTCCTCTACCAGTTCACTTTTGAAATCAGTTCCACTTTTACTTCCAAGATTTAGTATAAGTAATGCCTTAAATTACAAAAAGAATTCATTTAATATTTATTTTACATGGCTATTCATGGCCAATAATTATAGTATTATCAGCATATTTACATAATAAAAATAAGTATAGCTGTTACCTGCTGGGTATGTTTTTGTATTTCATCCAGAACAAATTCTACTTCTTTTGAGGATGTTAATGAAGCAAGGTTTCCGCTAAGATTATAGCAATAAAGTTTTGCATTATCATAGCTTTCTCTACTGGTATTGATTCTGAGACAAGCATCCCCAATATGATTCCATCCTTCTCCACAAAGATGAGCTAGAAAAAAATAACATCTTAATTTTAGATTACCAAAAAGCATGTGCATTTTTTCATTTATTTCAAAATTCTAAGTAGAATTTCTGTATTTAGTTAAATAATTTTAACAATAAAATATTTAAATATGTCAATATACTGGACAAAATTTGTCTAATAGATTAGTACATAATGGGAACAGAAGAATCTAATTTTTTCTTCAATTTTAAACAAAAGGTATAGCTCCATAACATCTGTTAAAATATGTTGACTATTTGCTAACTTTTCTCTGTAAGTCTAGTGTATTGGCATATGGTATCTAACAAGTAAAATGACTACTATATTACTATATTTACATCCTAATGTCCAATTTACAAAATACAAGCGCCCTCAAATAAGAAAATAACAGCATATAACAAAGCAATTTCAAAGTTATTCCTATGACTGTAGCTAATTGTCTTCCCAATTTAATTTCCATAGTCCAGGTATATTATTTTGATATAAGCTTGGTTCTTTGAGTCTTTAATTATATTTGTAGGGAGAAAATTCTCATTTCGTTATATTTCTGTAAGAAGCTATAATCTGATTTTTAATATTTCCTTTTACACAGCTCTTCAGGTCTTTCTAAAGTTTAAACACACTATTCAGTAATAGTGATTTGTCCTTAGAGTTCAAACTAAACTTAAAACAGTACACCAATTTTCTAAAACAAAGATTCATGCCCTAGCTGGTTTGGCTCAGTGGATACAGCGTCAGCCTGTGGACCAAAGGGTCCTGGGTTCAATTCCAGTCTGGGACATGTACCTCGGTTGCAGGCTCCTCCCCGGCCTGGGTCCTAGTCAGGGCTCGTGCAGGAGGCAACCAATCCATGTGTTTCTCTCACATCGATATTTCTCTCTGTCTTTCCCTCTCTCTCCCACTTTCTCTAAAAATCAATGGAAAAATATCCTCATGAGATGAGGACTAAAAAATAAACAAATAAAAATAAAACACAGATTCATAAATACAAAGGTATGCACTAGCGTACACTAATTAACAAAGCAGTATTTCCTCAACACCCTGATCTATAAAGTCTGACTACAGTTTAGTTTCCATATCACATTAAGTAGCTCTGTGCCTCCAGCCCTTTCAGCCTTGGATGCATTCGTGCAGCCTTTAGGGATTGTTCTAGCGCTGCTGTTCTCAAACATTTTGGTTCAGTAACTCTAGAGGACTCCACTAATCTTTTCTTTCCCCGTTTTACATGTATTGGTTTTGACCACATAAAAATTGAAGCTGATTATTTCAAGATATGATTGTTTTATTTAAAATTACAATTTAAAATTCAGACTGACAGTTGGACAGAGGGTAGCGGGTTTGCGTGACTAGGTGAAAAGATGAAGGGCTCAAAAAGTACAAATTGGTAGTCACAGAATAGTCACAGAGATGTAAATGACAGCACGGGAACAGAGTCAATAAATTGTAATAATTATGAGTGGGGCCAGGTGGGTACCTGAAATATCAGGAGGAAGGCTCTGTGAAGTGCATGGCCTCCTAGCCACTATGCTGTCTGTACACATGAAACTAACAGAATAACACTGACTGTAAACTGTAATTGAAATTTTTTTTAAAAAAACAAACAAAATAAAATTAATTACAAATACATCCAGCTTCTAGGATGTTCTGCCCCTTATGCAATATTCAGGCCTAATCTCTTCCTGAGAAAGAGTGGCTAAGAGTTCAAATCAGGGCGCTGGCATCAAAAAGTTAAGATGTGCTGATAAACAGAAGGAGGAGGAGGCAGAGGTCGGATTGAAGTAGAGCTTTTAAAACGTCACTGCAGAATCTAGGGTGTGGGTATTGGGTGTCCGCTCTAATATTCCTTCCATTTTTCTATATAGCTGAAATTTTCCCTATAAAATGTTCAGAAGAAATATTACACCTTTAAATAAATAATATATTTAATTTTCTAACTATAGTCTCCAAATAAAATAGTGTAAAGTGTAGCATTGTTTTACATTTGTGCAAATCTGTTCTACATTCAATCTATTGAAATCATATATTGCATAGCTTTGGAAAACTCCATAGTAAATGCATGCATAAGAATTTAAAATGCAAATAATATCTCAATATTATTATTTTGACCTCATGGACATGCTAAAGGGTCCATGAACAGGAGACGGTTCTTTAATAACTGCTGTTCTATTAATTTGGGTACCATGAATAAGACACAGTGCCTGGAACATAGTAACCCCTCAATAAACTGTAATGATCACTTAATAAGACTGTGTAAAACACCTTTGGTTTCATTTTCAGGCTACACATACAGCAATCTTCCTGTGTTCTAGAATCTTGAAGTCCCAATCACTTTAAGGAAACAGTTTAAAAGTTAAATTATAGCTTTTTCTAACATTACTGAATCAAGGAAGGATTTAGATATTTTTTGCCAGCCCCCACCTCCCCCCACCTTTTTTTTTCCTGAGGCCAAAAATAACTGGTTGACAAACTACACAAGTGAAAAACAAAGCAGGGGCCTTTGGGGCTAAACTAAGGCTTTTGTAGTATTGAGCATCAACTCAGCTTTAGCGTTAAAGGGATAGCAGTTAATTTGGTAAATGAGTTTAGTGAGATAAATTCAAATTGCCACATTTACATGAGATCAATTTTAAAAATGCAATTCACAAATTTTCATGAAAGAGTGCAACTGCTATAGCTGGGCCCTCCATTTAGGATTCACTTCCTTGAGATGAGTAAAAAAGAAAAGCACACTGTATATATACCCACTTGATTGCTCAGTAAATATGAACACAGAACAAGGAAGTTAGTGTATAATCAAATGCTCCATTGTGTTTATTGCACTGTACTTATTATTCTTCAAAATATTAGCCTGGTCAAGTGGAGCCCTTACACCAAACCAAAGTCTTTTCCTGGGCAATGAGTGTGTAGGGACTATGGAATATAACTGTGCTACTGTTTTTGAAAACTGATAACCAAATTCCTTTCTTACTGAAGCAATCTTCCTTTAAGTACACACATTCCTTTCAGTCAAATAGGATTTTGGCCCAGGATTTACTCTGTCTTCTTAAAGAGACTTGTAAGTATTTTTATCGATCTATATGTCGATTTTAAAGTTTAACACTTAGAAATCAATATTACTTTCAAGTTTAGTGTCATCTCACTACTGCTTCTCAAATCCTGCCCAGTGCATTCCTACTCTCTAATCTTCTCAGTGAACACACACTTAACTATATCACTATTTAAAAACACTACAGGTCAGTATGTAAACAACGTTTAAAATTTGAATAAGTAAACATTCCAACATTTCAATGATACTTTTAAAGCAATCTAATTTTTATTTAATTACATGAACTTGTAAGAAAGACATACGTCCTGGGATGGAATTTTCCAATACATTTTAAAATTGAATAGTTTCAGAAAATTTTTATGAAAAAATAAATAAAAAGCATGGATTGGAAAAGGCAAAAAATTGTTCTGATATAGAACACACAGTTAACAGTTACTTCTGCTTTCACAATACATGCAATCTGAGCAAGTCACTAAACTAGTGTGCGTGTCTCAGTTTATCTGTATAACAAGAACATGAAACTGGTTAAATATCTATATTTTTAATTTTCTGATCTTCTCTTGTATATCTAAAAAGAATCATAGTTGGGGTCTATTAAGAAGAGTGTTAACTGCAAAAACTAAATTGAAATTGATTTTTAAAATAAGCTTTGCTCCCATTTGTGCAACTCAGATTCTCATTAAATCACATATTTATTATAAATGTTACAATTTATAATAAAAAAAGCAGTTAGTAAAAAAACAGTTCCCATAATTTTAAAAAATGGCAAAAAACAAATCAAATGTTAAAATATCAACATTTGTTCAAATTTGGCAATCAGTAGGAGTGCTTATTATTTTCTATGCTAAGATATAAATTTTGAAAACTGGAAGAGAATTCTGATCAAGTCAATAGTATAAAAATAATACAAGAAACCTTAAACATCTTAAAAGAATTGGAAGCAAATGTACAAATATTCTTGCAGAAATAATGCTATTACTACTCCAATATTATTGCTTATGTGCTACTGATTTAATTTTAGAAAATGGAAAGTTCTTACTCAAAGCTCTTTACTACAATGTTACTCATCTGTGGACTATAAAACTCATTTACCAAACTGAAAATTTCACCTGGTAAAGCCTGGCCTTCCTGTTGTCTCTGATCCCACTGGCAATTCAAGTTTAGTGAACAGCTTTTACAGCTGGTAAGTTTGTTACAAATCTGCTCATTTCTCACATGGCATTTGGTGTAGTTTTTCACAGACTAGAAAGTTAAAAGATAAAACGTTATTTTTCACCTTTGTACAGCAATGATTCTTAAACCTCAGTGAATATAAATTACCTGATGAACTTTAAAGTACAAATTTCTGACTCCTGTTCTACTTAATCAGAATCTCTATTTATTTAATAATTTATTTAAACCACAGTTCTTGGAATTGGCAGTGTGCTTATTGAAAAAAAATGTGGCACATTACACAATTGGAAACAGAAACCATCTAATGAAAACATTTTCTATTGAATATGATAACAGGCTTCCAATTCAATAAATAAGGTCAATACACAAAGTCGTGTCTCTTAATAATCACATGAAAGAATCCTATGTCATAATGAAACTACCATACAAATCCGTGGGAAAGAAGTAGAAATGGTAAGTAGTAAAACTTAAGAGATGCTTTATTAGAATTCAGTACAATTTAAAAAGCTAAATTATTATCTCAATAACAAACTAATTTTACTCCCACAGACCTAAATACTGGTTTCGGTTAACTGATGTTCCTCCTGTATTTGTCACATTGCTTTTATCCAGGCTGCAAACAACCTGCAAAAGTTACACTGTGATCAATCCTACTATAGAATGTAATCATATTTCAACTAATTCCAGCACTAAAAGGTTAAAGGTTAAAAAAGAAAACAAACCAGGCAACACAGGAACTTTAGTGGTAGCTCCGTACATACACCAAGATTCAGGTTGTTCACGTATTAACAACAGCTATGATAAAACCGACCTGGTGAAAATCAGACACTAACATTTTTAGCTTAACTCTTTCTGTAACTCTTCTTTGAGAAAAACTCAGAAAGGACTTAATGCTACATCCTGGCCCTATTTCTACTTTTGTTTTTCCCTGTGGGCACAATGTGTGCCTCAGGTTTTCTCATAGAAGGAAGCTAAATATTTCTTTTCAGCCAGTGACTTTAACAGTTAAAATTTAGTCATAACTATCCCACATATAAAAACAGTAAAAAGCAATTTTCATCCTCTTACATACTTTAAATATCACCCACCAAATATTTATTTATAAACTATTATACTTTCCTACATAAAACACATGGCAGTCATCACCATTTCGAAGATATTATTTCCTTCAGAGTAAATTATATATACTAGAAGGTAACATATAAAGTACATAGGAACTCATATTTATCTTTATTCATCCTAAGAATATATCAAAAGATATAATTTTTAAAATCTCAAATGACTTTGTGACTTTTACTCAACCATATTTTCATTAGAAACATGTTAACTTTCTTGTCATTTAATCTAATTCATACCTTTTTGTTTTCATATAATAAATAGATCTTAGTGTTGGTTTATATAATCATTATAGTTCCAAACATTTGCCCCCTAACTGAAGAGAAACAAATTTACTTGAATAATCTGACAAATAGAATAGCTTATAAAAATGACCAGGAGAATGGATAAAGAACATTTTAGAATAAGAGAAAGAAGAAATTAAGGCTGCCCTTACAATATCTATGGTATAATTAGAGTCACCATCCAAGTAACTATACTGCTCTTCATTAACAACAATATAGTCATTTACTGGCACTGAACCAATACAATAGATGAAACTACATTTCAATTACACACAGCACCAATTTAATCAATTATGGAAGGAAGCTGACTGTTATTCTGAAACATGGCTGGCATTTTTGGGTCTAATGAAGCAGATGTACGTACATTATAAATCAGACTATGAGGACTAACCACTACTATATTGATCTTCACTCTAACATAGATATAAATTCAAAGTGAAAATATGTGAGAAGCAAGCAGGCTAGCTGAACTATTAGAGCATAATATATGCAACTTGCAGTAAATGTGATTAAATAATGAAGTACGATATCAATAGATATCATTTACACTAAAATCTCATAGACCTTTCTGTACTCACTAGCATCTGGTTTAACTTCACCACCAGGCACTGCGATAAAACTGTCTAAAAGACACATCACATCAAAGTCTAAATTACAAGTGAGGACCATCTGCTCACTTACACTGCCTCACCCACTGCTTTCCTTGTTAACACATTATTATCAAAAACAAAACATAAAGAAAAAAACACTTTATAAAATGAATATACTTGACAGCAACTTATTTAACAAATTTTTTTAGATATGCACATTTTCACTGAGTGTTAATGTCAAAACACAAATTAACTCAGGTTTATTCAACACAGCTGTAAATAAAATCTGCTTGCAATTTTTATCTAATAACATTCTCCGATTTAGTCCCTTATGGCCATGCTTGACTTGTATTTCCACATGACTCACTAAAATAACTCATTAGATGAATATTAATCCACGTATAAAACATGTAATTCAAATTTTCAAAGAAGAGTCATGTCATATTAACATTAAATAACACTGAATCATGTATTGTTATTAAAGAAACTTACCCCCCTGGAATGTATGCAGGGTGGGGCAAAAGTCAGTTTCCAGTTGTTTGTAGAGAAAATAATACAATAATTAATAAATAATACAAGAATAAACTCTGTGGTTCGCATACTCACAACTATAAACCGACTTTGGCCCCATCTTGTATGAAAGCAAAAGGATTCAACCCAATGAGTCAATAACCGAAAATTTTCCTCCACTTTAAGTTTTGAATAATATTGTAGACTAGAATCATAAAAATTAATGTTTGGAAATATGATTGGTACTGGAGAAAAATTATAGATGATACAGAGTTTTTACTTAGTTTTCAAACCCTCTTTTCTTTACCTTTTACCACTACCTGTTATCTGTAAAAACAAGTTGATGCTTTCATTGATTAATAAAAATTCAGAAAAATATACATTGTATTTTGTTGAAAAATCTGTATGCATGTTATTTAGTTATTTAAGCTATAGCCCAATTTGGGAAACTTTAATCCAATTAAATACACTTTTTAATTCCTTTTAAATTTTTCTTTCAATTTGCTAATATCTAAAGAACATGGGGCATTTTTTACTACCCACTTAAAAGGTAAATTTTTGTTGCACTTAATCAATTTTCATCTGCCAAAAATATTAATTTTTTATTTTTTCAATAGTCTACCTAAAGTAGGAGTTAATCCCATCACTATTGACATTTTGAGCCCAATAACAATTTTGCGGAAGGTCTGTTCATGCATGTAGGACATTTAGCAGCAGCCTTGGGTTCTACCTAATAGATGCTAGTAGCAGCCTCAGTGAACTCATAACCCAATGTGTCTACACACATTGCCCTATGGCCCTTGGGGTACAGAACTGCCTCTGGCTAAGAACCACTGGTCTCAAAACAGATAAAAGGCAAACAGCCACTATCAATACCCCAGGTTAAACTTGCACACAAAGTATATCAACAAACACTATCCCATACCACTATTAATGCATGTCTGCAAGAGCCCTCTGGAAATTATTTCAGATAATTACTTATGTAATCCTATTTCCATCACAAAAGACAGCGTTTATAGTTAATAGTCCTTTTATAATCAGCTTTGTAAGAATTTTCCCAATGAGAAGTTATTGCATTTAAAATGGACCCTACACTGACAAAGCCGAACAACAAACTACAGAGTGAATCGACAACATCCTGACAGCGATTTCCTATGTGTTTTCCAAGCGCCCTCAATGTGTAAAGTGATTATTTTACAGTGTGAATAGCTGGTAAGCTAACGATTATAAAGCAGCACCATTAACAACGTCCCCCGTAAGTACTGACCACACTGCAGTTGCTGTTGGCTGAGATGCACTTCTTGTCATCACACCACTGACACCCGTTGGTATTGGCAGTGCAGCTGGCACAGTCTGCGTACCTGTAACACCTGTCCTCAGAAGCAGCTGCAATACAAGCGGAGACAGAAACACATCGGGATGAAAAAAAAGGAAATGTCACACGTCTCGATTCACACATTTTTAACATCTGTTCAAGAACCAGTAAGACATTTTTAAACCGTAAATATGACCATCAATATAAAAAAAGTTCAATATGAAGTCAACTTTGTAGTTAATTAATTGTGTTACAGGGTTTATATACCTCCTGCCCTCATCTTAATTACTGAATCTACCAGGATCCTATACCCAGTTAAAATGTATACATTATGGAGGAGGGAGAAAAGACTAATATATACAATTTTAGGATGAGGGAAATTTGATTTTGTTTTCTGACGGAAGAGAATAATAAATGTAGAGGGAAAGATTAGAAATATAAAATAAGTTACATATAATTGCTAGAGCAAACTCCTAGGGTGCTAGGAAGACATATTAGTCACGGGTTATTTAGTGAGCAAACTATATTACTATGGATAAAAAAGAAAATATTACAACGAATATTGTTTATCATTCTTCATAAAGATATTTGGAGACATCTGAGTTAAAGATTAGCAAAATTTGAAAATACATTTGTTAATTGTAGCATTGCAAATGTACAAAACTCACCAATTTAAAGAAAATTTAACAATTTTTATCCTAGTCATTCATTTATAAATAATATTTACTAGTTATTTTTCATAAGTTAGGTTTATTTATTCAATATTTTATACAAAATATTAAACTGGAACATTCATCGAAACTGAAGAAAAAAATTTAGCTTTATAATCTGGCATGGCAATAATTCAGGAAGAAAAAACAATACCAAATGCATAATAAATTACTTCATTTTATTTCTTTGAAGCACACAATATTTCCGAAAAATGATTATTTGAAATCATTTTTTACTTACATAGGAAAATAATTCATATATATGATCATGTTACATATAAAATATTGATATGTCATATTATATGCAGAATTTTAAAAAGAGAACTAAAGATGGTTAATAAAGAAATTAAATTATTAATTGCTGTCTAGTGCAAACATTAGATTTCTAATCAGAGGGTTATACATTTTTTATTTCTGAAGGCTACTAAGGTACTTCTTATAAGCAGGGTAACACTTCTGATTCTAGGCAAGTAGAGAAGTTCATGCCAGAGACTGGGGAAAGGAAAGGGAAAAAACAACATTTACCTGTTTTAGGAGGGCACTTTGCTCTAAGAATATTATTTGTATTCCCAGATTCCCAAGATTCACAGTAACTTTTATTCCAAATACATTTTATCCCTGGACCAGCATTTTTACAAAGTTCTTCATTTCTAAAAGCCTTGCAATTTGGAGGCTTGTATACAAGGATATCATTAAGGAGCACACTGGAAAATCCTCCAAATATATACATCGACCTAATAAAAACAAAACAAGAATCTTAAAGAAGCAATATTAACAAAATTCACTGTTTAATGTACTAGTTTTATAAATAAATTTATATATATTGAACATCATTTTATCAAGGTAGGTAACTATATTTTTTAGAAATAGATAACAGCAATCCTATCTAATAAAACCCTAATATGCAAAGCGACCAAAGGATGAAACAACTGGCGGAATGACCGGTCACTATGATGCACACTGACACCAGGGGCAGCCACTCCCTGGTTGGAGACAGCTCCTGTGTTGAACGTCTTGCCCTCCCCACCCCAGAGGGAGGTAACCTGCAGTGTCAATGAGGGGCAGGGCTACGTACAGACTCTA